GGAGGGAGGAGACTACACCTTACCGACACCGCCATACATGTACAGGGAGAAGGGAGGAAGGAGAGGAGGAGAGAATACGTACCACCCACACTACATGTAGCAGGCAGAAGGGAGGAAGGCGAGGAAGGGAGCGAAGATACTATCTTACCGACACCACAATACATGATACATGAGAAGGGAGGCAGGGAGGGAGGAAGGGAGGCAGATACTACCTTAACCGACACCACCTACAGGTACCATGAGAAGGATCGGGAGACGGGAGGAATGGGAAGGACATACTTACCCTTACCCACACCAACACCATGTAACAGCGAGAAGGGTAGGAAGGGAGGAAGGCAGGAGAGCAGCCATACTACCTTACGGACACCACTACATAGTACATGAGAAGCCGAGGCGAGGAAGGAGGAAGGGGGAGGAGATACTATACTTACCGACACGCTCATGTACAGGAGAACGCGGAGGAGGGAGGAAAGCGGAGGAGATACTATCCTTACCCGATACGCCTTACATGTACAGGACGAAGGGAGGGAGGAGGAGGGAGCGGAGGAGGCGAGGCGAGGGAGGACGATACTACCCTTACCGACACCGCCTACATGATACAGGGAAGCGGAGGGAGGAGAAGGGAGGGATGAAGGGAGGAGATACTACCTTACCGACACCGCTACATGTACAGGAGAAGGGAGGGAGGGAGGGAGGAAGGGAGGAGATACTATCTTGCAAACCCCAGAGAGAAGGAAATACCGACGCATCGATCCCCGATCTCCCATCGCGCGCGTCGACCGTAAATCTGTAATCGCATTACACGTCGTCGTCGACGTCGTCCTGTCGTCTCTCGTGTGTTTGTTTAAGTTTGCCGACGCTGTCGATCAAAAAACTTGCTCGATTCCTCTCTCCTCTTTCGCCGCCGCCGCCGACGACGACGTGCCGATGGTTTGATAACGTCAGTCAATCCATATTTAGTTGTCGTCGTCGTCGTCGTCGTCGCTTGCCCCCCCCCTTCCCCCGTCGCCTGCCCCGCGGGCCTCGTCTGTCGGGAGAACCGTCTGACGTCGTCCTGACGTGGGGGACATGCATCGTGCGGACGAGCGCGAGCGCGCAAACTTTCGTTGAACTGCGCTTTCCGTTCGTGTGCGTGCGTGCGTGCGTGCGTGCGTGCGTGTATTATTATTATTATTATACAATGTCGTCGATTCTTCTTGTAAGAGTAACGATGTATCTATTGAGAATGTGTCTCCTATAACCCGTGTATTTATAATTATTAGCATGTTAGACAATATCACCATAAACTAAACGCTAGTTTTAACCAGAAATATATACCATCGCATTTATGCATCCATTGCAGATGTATCTCAGAAGGCTTTGCCGAATATAAGAGTGTTAGTGGAACCTCCCACGTGAAACTAAAGAGACGATCAGATATACGTAAAGAACATTATAAAGCAAAACAAATTCCGTAGATCGGAAAAAAAATTGCGGCGGAAATGTCAAACAGCAAGCAAATAATAACAAAAACATGCATTAGATGCAAGCGTACGTGAAAAGCGAGCAAAAAAAACGAGCAAAAAAGGAAAGCAAATGACAATCATGCAGGGGTGACGTGGTTTCAGTGCTAGAGCTTACTTGAATGGACTCGCCTCACTAACGTTCCCCTCCTGATTAAGGAAATGTGTCTGGGTCGCGTATATATCGCCTGTCGCGTAGTCCCTGCTGATGTTGATAAGTGGATAGCCCATCTGTAGCGTCCATGTGTCCATGACCATCTTTATATCGATGTCTACTTTATCGTTATCTAGTTGCTGTCGAGGGCGGTTGGCGCAATCAATAAAACACAGAATCACACAGAAAAATTACGCACGAAAAAGTTTTGTTCTAGTCGGATATCAGTGTTAGTATTACTATTGTGCTTACTGTTACTATTTGTATTACTATTATTGTTACTATTACTGTTACTATTTTTATTACTATTATTGTTACTATTACTGTTACTATTTTTATTACTTGTTGTTACTATTACTGTTACGATTTTTATTACTATTACTATTACTATCACTATTGCTGTAATTGTTACTATTATTATTATTATTTGCTATATATTGCACTTCACGTATGATTTTATAGGTTGTGGAGGATAGCATATGAACAATGTTATCCATGCAGGAGCATTTGTTTATGGTACCGTTTGGAATGATTGCCACAGCTGGTCCGTGACGGCGGCACCGTAGCTATGGTCGTGAAGAAACCTCTGTAACGATAAACCACACAAAGTTGAAATAATACTGATCTAATCATCGATCAGTGATCAACCATACGCACGTCAGAGACGTATCACCCGAGAGTATCACCCAGAGAGTATCACCCGATGGTACGGGAAACGCACTTCATCCGCGGTTTTATCTACATCTGTATCTAACCGAGTACATTCAAACAAAGTTTTGTTAGTTCAATAGTCGATTCAAGTTATAGCAGGGCTAAGTTATTCGCGTAGCTGTAGGCGCAGTACTGGTGTGAATACCACTCCCTTGTAATACATTCAGACAAACTGTGATTACGCTCTAGTTTATATATACATACATACATACATACATACATACATACATACATACATACATACATACATACATACATACATACATACATACATACATACATACATACA